AGATAGATGCTTTGTTAGTTAAACCTATTAGATCTTCTTTACAATAAGGATATTTTGTTGTCAAAACGAATGTACTCTGAAACACATTATCATAACGAAGGCAATTGATAACGCAAGTCATTCTTGAAAGTTGTTCAGACGTATCTGTTTCTCTTGTTTGTTGGCGAATTAGTGAATAATAATTTTCCACTGGATAATCACTAAACGCCACAAGATGCTTTTCTAAAATTTCAAGAATAGAATGGTTAATACTTTCCCAATACCAAACGTCTGAAAGAAAAAACAGTGATACTTTGTTATAATTTCTCCGTTTGAATCGAGTAAACAAACACCATATTCTCACACAAGCCTCAATATATCCATTCCAATTGCCTGATCTAAAAATTGTTGCATAAATATTGAGAACTAAAGGAATCGTATCATCTAAAAGAGTTTTCAATATTAGGTATTCAACATCTCTACAACAAGAAAAGTCAAATTTCTGTACAACATATGGAGCGACGATTTGCCAAGCATCTGATATCAATTATAATAAAAGATTAATTCTCCAAGGATGAGGTTTGTTAGCAAGTTTTTTGTTTTTTCCAAAAATATACTTGTGTGCTAAATTGAAAAATTCGTAAAACAACAACACAACAGTTTCACGACTGTTGAGAGATACATGTAAAGGTCCCATTATTGGAATAAATGAACTAATACATTCTGGGATTTTACCTGTTTGAATATTCTTTCGCGCTTGTTGTTGTTGCATCGTAATCACTTTTCGAGGAAGTATTTGACCTGGCCAATCAGCAACCAATGGAATAACATTGTGCTGGAGATATTCGTGAAATTCTGGAAAGGATGCAAACGTCTCCATAGCTTTAATGTATGTCTCCGTCGAATGTAAATTAAGCTTGAGGAAATCGATTAATAATGTATTATTAAGTTGCTGACTGTGTCATTTTTCATGGATATCTATATCATAACAATGAACTGTTAGATTATCAAGTAAATCATTTTCAGCGTAAGCAGATTTTCTTGCAAACTGATTATTAAACGATTGAGATAGAAGAGCCATAAACTGATTTTCTATTTGAGTAATCAAAATATTACTGTCAACAAGTCGCAGGTTATGTATGTTTGCATTTCCGACACTCTTTGGAATCGCACTTGCTGTAGATATCAGGATGGCAAGAACTGTAGTCATGTGAGCAACCGTATTGGTCGACATAGTTGTTGGAATGTGTAAACCATGAATGTTGTGATAATCATCGATATTAGCAATTAACACATTCACCTGATACTTTACAAGCTCTCTTGCGACATTATCTCTATGAATAGAAGATATGATATTTTTTCCATGTCGATTCTCCCTCGATATAGAACTCAACTGCATGTTAGATAAAGTATCGATTGCTTGATCAGAGGTACCTGAATGATCCAAAAACATAGCAATGTCTTTTTTCAATGCGCTAATATGTTTATTTCCGATCTCTACGAGAAAATGACATAAGAACGAGAGACCTTTTTGTCGTTGTGAGATAGTATGATCCACAAGGTCTCTATCATTCGGATTAATCAGTTTCTCAAGCAGGTTGAGAAATGATTTGAGATGAATGTCTTCTGACTCCAAATCCATCCGAAGCAACT